ATGAAGCTATTTCCATCAACACGATCAGTGAGACCTTGTGTAACCTCCCTTGTCTTGGACTGTTGACCTTGTTCAGTGAATTGGGGTGTTTTTTTTTAGTGAAGAGGAGATGATGAAAATGATGATTGCTGGACAAGAAGTGTGTGAAGTTGTTTAAATTACAATGCTGTATGATGAGCTGCAATTCCCCACAATTATCCTTGATTATTATTCAAGATTGCGACCAATGAGACAGTATTAGCACCAGAATGACAATGATTATTGACAGTGAATATTCACCGTGCACATGATGTGCCAAGACAAGCCTTTGTGATGACCATTTATCTGGTCTGATCAGAGGGATTTGCAGAGCATTAAACTCAAATCCGCCCCAAAATAGGATTCACGGAATGTTGTTCCTGTCTGATCTCGGACCTTTCGAGTGTAGTTACATATGAACAAGCCTCTTTCAAGAACATAAACGTCAAGGAAGTAATCTGGGATGACACTAAGTGCCACTTTTTGAAACTGCCATTCACACTTGAATGGAGACGGAGGTTGTAGACAGAGTGACAGCCAGGATGATGTTTTTGGTGTTTGCACTCAAGCAAATATTCTACTAATTTGCAAATTAATTAAGAGTGTAGCAACCTCCAAAGTTCATTCATGGGCTGAATCCCAATCTCCACCCTTACAGACTCACAGTCTCTGAGGCGCATTCGAGGTAAATCTGTGAGGGCTTAGGGCTGTCCCACTGTCAAATCAAATCGTCAAGTGCATGAGGGATCTCTCACAGACTTTTTGAGCCCTTTATACACACTTTCCATAAGTCCGCATCTATGCAGACTTTGCCTAAATGAATTACCCACAGTTCATAGCGTTCTGACGTTAAACACGGGGTTACCATCGTGTTATGTTGCGGTGCCCTTGCAGCCTCTCACACTTAAACACTTAGGGTGTAAAATGCATTTTTGTTTACTTTAGCTTTTACTTTAGGTTTTTTCATTGTTGTTGTATTTATGTGCTTTTTTTGCATGAACTGCTTCTATTCTTTTTAAAATGAAGTTAAACATCATGTTTGCAAATCATGAAAAAAAAGTCCTAGAATGTGAATGTGCTGAGAAAGCCGCAACAATAAAATGTAACAACAAAACATGAAACTCACTGAAGTTGAAATTTCATGACAGCAGGTAAGACTGAAGTCATACATAATTACCATAATTATGAGAACTGAATCAGTTGATAGCACTCAGTAAATTATTGTTTACGGTAGTTAAAGGCTCACAGTCAAAGGGAAGGTAGGTACACTATGGATAAAAAATAAATGTTGTTTTGTGTACAGGTGCTGCAATCTATTTTGATTTCACATCTCTAGACAGATGGAGTATGAAATATGACCCATCCAAAAATAAATGAGAGTGAAAGCTAAAAAAGAGAAGCAAGTAATTTCTCCTGCAACTTCAAAGGCTTAACAGTGCATTTGAACAATCCATTAACAACACAGTGATAAAAATAATTCTTGCACTTGTTTTGATTTTTAAACAAATTTGTTTTGAATTTTTCATCTTGTGTCAATGTACCTAAAGCATTATTTTACCCCATCCACACATCGATCATCTGAAATCACACTTCTTTACATCCCTTTATCTTTGCACTGACAGATGTTACTGAACAGCTGCTCTGGGCTTGTATCTAAAGCACTGGGCTCCCATCCATCTCATGCGACAAATATGGCAACAAATCAAGTCAATAGTGGCAAATGGTGAGTAGTATATAATCTATTGTTGAGAAATGCATGCAAGATGTGGCCTTCATCATTATTTATCAGGCTTGCAATGCTGTACCACATGCATTCCTCTTATCTCCATCCGCTTGCTTTTAAACCTAAAATAAATGAGTTTTCAGATTTCCTTTTCATGAGCAAAGACTTTTAAATCAATATACATACTGAATGAGCTCTGAGATCCCCTTTGCTCATTGCAGACAGAAATACTGTTTGATATGTCATTGCAGGTTGATATTGTTCATTGATGTATTTCAAGGATCTAAACCATAATCTAAGATCAAGAGAACCTCATCCTTTAAATAGTATTAAGAGGAACACACACAGAAAAATAATTAGGCTTGCTCTGGTTGTCTGCCTCGCACTCACTGTGGCCTGGCCTGCCATTAAAGGGATGGGACATTGGAGCATGAAATAATCACCAGATTAGTGCGTGCTGGAGAAATAATAAGTCATGGCTGCAGTTTGTTCCTCATTAGTGTCAAACAGCACATGGCTGCAATTGTCAGTGTTTGCTGCTAACCTACACAGTGACACAGACTGAAACTGTATATGTCAGTTTGAGTATAAATGGATTCAGCCCTAGCACAGCGCCAAATCCCCTTTCACGTCCCACCAGGTGACTTTCATTGACAGGCTTCTGCAACAATTCACCACATGACCACAGCACTGAGTCAAGCTCTTAAAACATCCAAGACCTGTGCAGTTTGCTATTTTGGAGCTAGTCTGTTGTCTGACTGGTATGTCCATGGAAAGGCTCCAATCTGCATACAATGCCAATTGTTGCTTGGACCCATAAGATGACCTTGACTGCAGCTGTAGCCTTTGCTGGGTGGTACTTTAACAGCCAGGATAAAAACAGAGCAAAACTAATTGTACATTTCAGATACACATTAAACTGTATTGCTCTTATTTTTCAAGAGGGAATCTGCGACTGAAAGACACAAAAGCAGAACTTATCATTGTACATGTGTTCAAAGTGTCAATGCCATACAGTTCGATTCTGAGCCGCTATATCTCACCCTGCCGTATGTGATGTAATGGTAGCCAAGTGTGAAATCCAGTTAGGGAAGCTACAGAGACCCTATTTTCAGAAGGAGGAGGTAGATGATGAAAAGAAGAAACACTCTGAAATAGACTTTGGTGGGCCTCCAACAGGAAAACGTTACAACAAGAAGAACATGGTGGATGTGAACTTTGATTCAACTCCAATGCTTGCATATCTTTTTGAATATGTGGAATTTTTATGTGGGCTAACTACAGATTGACACATTTGTAAAAATCAGATGCTCCTGAGTCTTTCATCGGGGTGACTTCAAATTATGTAACACATGTTTTGCCACTTATATGGGATTAAATAAATAATAAATATTGAAACAGCTAGCTTAGCCTTGTTTAATTAGAACTGATTAACTGCTATGTGAGCACAAGTTATCATGGATGTGAACATAGTTAAAATGCAAATTAATCTAAATAAATTAGCATTCATCGGTTGAATACCAATTATGTTTTAAAGAAATATTATATCTTGGATTCGTTTTTGTCTAAAACATACAAAACTGATATACAGTCAGATACATAATTAAAACATTTAAGTAATGGACTGAGCATTTTCTGCATTTCTCAGTTGAGTACTATTAAAATATAGTTTTTTTCCCTGCTAAATGCAACAAATTCTGGCCTAAACCAACCAATAACAGCATCAGAAAACAAGGATATCTTAGAGGCAGTTGCTATCTAAAGGGCGTACTTGTATTAAGATACCTGTCAATTGATATGGAAGTAGTAGTGGGTTCTGATCTTGGGGCAACCCTTTTTACTCACATATAGATTCATTTAAACTGCAGCATTACAGTAAGTGTATGCAGCGCTTTGTAACTGCATTAACAGGCAGAAGCTCTCCTATGACTCTGTAGAGCTGTGGCAACAGTTCCACTGTGATAATTTACCAGCACTCAGGATATACTGTGCCCAAGCCAATCCTTATAATATTAATGTGGTTAATAGGCCAGCTGGATTCCTGGTAGATGTGACACGTTCATTATCAAAACCACTAAGCAGTCAGTGCAGAACACGAGCTTGTAATTATACTTTCTAACTAGGACCTGATGTGGTATCTAGTTTTGTGTGCAGTGGTGACAGTGCCAGTCTGTAGAGGCTTCCCTCCAACATAGACCCTGTTGCAGTGTTGTTTGGCAGAAAGTCTTATTTAGTAAAGATAATATAAACACAGTTTTGGGGGGCTCACAGCAGGATATCCCAAAATTTTGTTTTTAAATACATCAACCATTTTAGCCTTTATAAACAAACCTTTATGCTTTTCCTGTTTGTGTGAGTGTGTGTGTGTGTCGCAAAGAGACATCATACAACTTACTGAAGTTTGAACCACTCTTGGTACCATTCTTTCACAATACATTAAACACCTCTAACATCAATGTGCATCCTCGGATAGTTCATGCATCAAAAATTACACTCTGGAAAGTAATTAGAAGAGAGTATTAATTATTCAGGGGCAGGAAGTCAGTCTACAGGCTTGTGCTGTCAAACACCAACAGTCAAGCCAGCAGCTGAGCCACAGCACCCTCTTTTGGTCACTGGGTAGCTAAGCAGGGACTAAATACTAAACTAAAAAGTAAGCCTTCTTTTGAATCCCCAATTTAATAGATTTATATTATTTTGTTTTCCTCAACTGACCTTTTTTTTTTTTACCTTAAACAACATGAGTTCACACACAGAAACAATGGGGTCATTTGGATCACTAAATCATTCTGACATTTCCAAGATAACTTTGTATAAAAGTGTCCTCCCATTAGATCGATGACACTTCACGTGAGTTTGATTTAAACCCCATTCTCCCTGTTCTCTGTGTTACCTTGTCCCCTACTGTATTGCTGTCTTACTTTCAAGAGTCGATGAGAAGAAAGAAAAAATGTACTGAGGTACTTTATATGTAATGATCTTCATGGGGACATTTCATTCTCTAAAGTTTACTCAGAAGAGCAGTGCACAGCCACAATCAGAATGTCCTTGCTGTGAGGCGACAGTGCTAACCACCAAGTCACTGTGACAAGCGCTCGTTTATTCTGAAATTGCATGACACTTTACATGCAGAGACAATATTATACTAAAAAAAACATGTTGTTCTTCACTCCCACAACCCCTCCGCCGCTTTCTGTTATTGATCAGTTAAATGACCTACTCTGCTCTGTCCACATCACATTTCTTTACCAACCAGAACTCTAGTCACATGTTCTCTTTTGGTTTTCTTAGTTGCACTGTGAAATGTAGCCTCATGATTCTGTTGGTTGTGTGTGTTAATGACAAGAGAAAGTTTCCTAAAACTTGAATTTGATAGTTCGAAAGCTCCAGCAGCTACCAAAAATGGTCCTTGAGATGAGGGTGCTCTGTCACTAAAGTTTCAATCTCAACCTGCAAGTCAACATTGGTGAGAATAGCTTGCTTTTTAGAAAAATCAATAATTCTGTGAAAACTGTCTGCTGATGAAGATTGTGTGATGTGATTGAAAGCACAAGAACAGCTGCTAAATGGAGCTTGAGGTGAGACTGTTTTGTCAAGTATAACATGGTGTTAGATTTGGCTGTGCAAATTCTTTTCCCACTTGCTGGACTTTGACAGTAGTGACACACTCCCTCCCTGCTCTGTTTTTGTATTTGGATTAGCGCATTTTGTTTCACCACCGCTGTCTTATTGCAAAACACTTTGGTCACTTAGGAACTTGTTTACACTGTTTGGCAGTCTAACATTACAACACATTGTAAGTTGCATTCTTTTTTAATTGTAATTTGTTCAACATCAGCATTGAATCTTTTTCTTACTACACATCCTTTTCAAAGACCCTTGTTTTGGTTTTATAAGGTTAACAATAACAAAATGTGACACCTAATAAACTAAATGTATACGAGATGGCAAAATGTCTGGCTTCCAAATCCGTGAAAATACAAACTACCACTGGTATTTGTGTTAATTCCAGGTCACAGGACAATGTGTCAGAGACCTTTTGATGCTATAGTGATTTCCCAGTTGTGTGTAGAGGTCAGTAAAAGTCATTGGTTACCTCACATTGCTTATCTTTCTGAGACATATGTTTGATAAAAGTGGCCTTGATTACTATAGACATCAAGGTGGAAGAATGAGGTGTGGAATTATGAAGCCTTCCATATGAGCAGTGTGGATGTGTAACACATGTTCAGAGTCTGAGGGACGAAGATTCTTCGACCAGATTTGATCCTTTTTTCTATTTCTGAGGTATACCTTTGGGAGACCTGAGTGGGTGAGCTGTCAAGACAAGAATGAGTTGCTTCGGAGAAGATGAGCTAACCCTGACCCAACTTGAAATAGCTTACTCTGGGGATTTCACCAATTGTTTTGAGACAAAGGAAGAGCATTGATTGTGTTGTTTATGACGTTCAGTGACTTCTCGGGACTACAGAAAATGGGATTGAATGAAGTGAAGAAGTCTTTCCAACTCCAATCCCAAGTTGTTTTTCCAGGCACAGTGGTGAATCACATTTTTTTACCCACTAACTGTGGTTTTGCATGTAAAGCTTTTTGTGAAAAGGTAAAAATGTGGGTGGAAACAGTTTTTTTAACGTACATATGGAAAAGATCAAAGTATAAATAGAAATCTTCACATGTGAAGTCATGCGAGCTACATGAAACCATAAATACAGTAAAAAAATGTTCACCCATGAACCTTCATGTGCCCAAAATATACAGTAGATTTGAATTTATATCCGGGGATACATTATATTGCTTTGTTTTTTTGTTTTTTTAGTTTATATGTCAAGCATACCTATGTGAATGCTGGTTTGTTAATGTGATTTTGAAAAGTGTCAAAAAACAAGCCCATTGTCTGAGATGGACAGTAACATCCAATAAAAATACGGTTAATGATAACATCAATAACACATGCGATGATAATTTGAAGTGGGGTGGGGGAATAAAACATCATCTATCTGTAACATTCTGTAACATTTGATGGATTTCTTGCAGACTCTGTATCTAGGGCACGAATATGTGTCTAACTTCTCGGATGATCGCACATTTCTCACTACCCCGCGAGTGGTCCTATAGACATTGACATTTGATACAACTGATCACTCAACTAGCCCTGCGATGGACTGGCAACCTGTCCAGGGTGTACCCCGCCGTTCCCCGATGTCAGCTGGGATTGGCTCCAGCCCCCCGCGACCCTGTACGCAGGATAAGTGGTTGACGATGGATGGTACGATGGATGATCACTCAACTAATATAAATGCATGAAAAGAAGTATCTACAAGTGGGACTCAGCCTATGATGGCAGCTCGCCAAGATCTTTCTAAGAAAATTACACCATTTTATATACTTAGCAGCCGCAAATGACTCAGTGAATGAACACCTTTTACACCCCTAAAGACGCTAATATTTGCTCCATGTTAATAAGCTCTCATCTATTTTGTTGCCTGGATGAGATTTGCCAAGCACTTTCAGAAGGTGGATATTAATCATTCCAGATGGATATCAAGGATCAGAAGATTTCCAGCAGGGATGAGTAACCAAGGATAGCGGCATGGCGATACAGGCATACTTAACCTTTAAGAAAGAACGCAAAAGCAAAGCTTGTCCGTTTTTAGGAGATTATGTAAATGTTGTACACACGGTCCCCTCTGTTAATCTTCTGCCACTTACAGAATTTTGAGTTTCCCATTGAGACACAGTAGGGTGCAATTACCTGCATGTGCAAATATATGGTCACATGTCTTGTTGGTGGCTGTCTGTTTATGACAGCTTTCATATTGTTAGTTGCCTCGCACCCCAGGAATAACCTATTCATGATGCTGGTTAAGGTTAAGGATGTTATTACAGTAATACTGTCACCTCGGAAAGAGGGATGCATATGGGTTAAAAAAGGAAGGAAAAAAGGGAAACGGAAAAAAGTAAATATATTAATTTTCTGAGTACTGTAGAAACGCCTGTATGTTTCATAACATACAGAGTTCGTGCGCATGTTTGTGAATCAGGTTCTGCTGTCATACTGGCCCTGAATGTTTCTCCTTATGGTTCAATTGTAGCTTTTATCTTTGATTTACTGAACAAAGTAACAACAGATTTACATCAAGTGCACGCTGTTGCTGTGCTGTGAACAAACATAAAATTCAACTTTAATTTCAAATTTTGCCGGCTAAATCCAGAGCCGGTAAAAGAACCCTAAATTTCTCTCGCTCTGTGTTTCTCTGTTTTAAGCACGTTCAATGAGTAAACTGCATCATGTTCACAAAATGTAAACCTTAAAACTAGATTATAACTCAGGGGCCCCTCTACTAGATAGGTCCAAATAATGCAGCAGTTGCCTTAAAATGTATGTATTTTTAAACCTGTGCTCTATTTTCACATATTTTGGGGTCGAAATGACTAGATGGTAAAAAAAAGGTTTTGGAATCAGTAGATGGCTTCTGCCAGCAGTCGCGATTAGGCTGCAGTGGCTGCAACATACTTCTTAGGGCAATTGTGCCCATCAAAATGATGTTCACAAAAATGTATTCTTTTTGCCACTGACAAGCACAGAGTGTTACACAAGGTGTGGAACAACATCATGGAAAGGGTCCCTATGAGTCACTCCTGGTGACACCCTTTGTTTTTAAAAAGAAACAGAAGTCTCACTCAAGGATTATTCTTGCTCTGAAATCTTGCAAGAGGTGAGTTGTTGCAGGAAACATCTGTAGAAATAAGGGAGAGAAGTTTGTTGTGTACATAAAGGAACCATTTTTTGCCTACTTCTTAAGCATTATATAAGTGGTTTATAACACATTATATTACTGGAACATGCTCTTTGAAGCAGATATGTATTTTATCAATGTACAGTATTTGTTCATGAAGACATATTGTATATTATTACAACTTGTACTTCATTATTATTTATTGTCTGTTCATACACTAGCCACCTTTTGGGTACCTACAGGAGGAGTTGTTGACAAATACATTAATAAAGACTTGAATCTGCTTACAACTATATTGTAGTGTGTTATAAACCATCTTTTCAAGATTCCTGTAGTGCTTATGAATGCTAAAGAGGGGGACTTGGTATTTATATTTATATGTCACGTGTAACAGTGTCAGGCCCACATGTGTCTCAATATGCATACTAAAGTATAATTGTACATGTAATGAGTGCAGGCAAGTTAAATTTTGAATTACTGTCCTATGACATTGTCAACAACATGACACTTTGCTGAAACATTGTTCTCTATAATGCATATGTTGTCTCAGTCCGCAACAGCAGTCTGTCACTGTGTGTCAACAGTGAAAGCTTTTACACCAAAGCTATTTTCAGTCTGTCTTTGTTTGCTGCTCAGTGTGTGCTGTATTACAAACAGTAGAGGTTTAATAGATGGGCGATTGCACCCATTTGGCACAGTTAAGTGCCTGTTCACTATAGAGACCACCCATGCAAAAACTGTACCTTCAGCTGTTTGTGTATAATAGCTACTAGAATAATCATCATTGGTTATTTAACATTGTATTGTCGCTATTGCACACAACACAGGTGCAATCAAAACCTGCCCAATTCATTAAGAGCATGTGTTCTCTTTTGAGAAAAGGTAGTTTATATATTATAGTATATATTTACAGGCAGAGTCAGAAGAAAATAAATAGTTTAAACATCAAGACTACATGCTTTACAGAATAAAAATGATTAAACCATTTAAGGCTAGAGAAAGAGGGAACTCATGATAATTTATTTTTAAGCCTATTCTTCTGTTTTGAGCTCTGGAGACCCCTGTAATGTCCTTATGTTTGATTGCACGTTTCTTCATCGGCATATTACATTTTAGCAAACAAAATGAATATACATTTTTTTTTAATGAATGGCCAATTAAGGTTGTTATATTTCCTTATTTTGTGTACTAACAAAGGTTTATTACCATGACTTTTCTCAACACTTTTCCACATATTTGATTGAACAAAGTCAGAAGGGGGAGGGTGGTGATAATACAATTTGAGATATAAATTGGTTGCGCTTGAAATTATTATGATTGTGATTAATAAGCATACAGCTGTAGGCTCTGTGGGACCTCAGACGGGTAAAGGAAGTTAAGATAACAAAACACAAATCAAATACAACAGGTCAGGATCAGAGTGTCAAAAAACCTGTTCGTGTGAAAAAAGCATGTCGATATTTGTTTCTGCCCTGAGACTGTTTAATACTGTATGCCAACCCCTAAGTGTTTCATTTCCAAACACACGTTTAAAAGCTGTTTGAGAAGATGGTGCCTGTGATAAAAACGGACATCTTCTGCATTATGTCTCGGTAATCCAATCCTACTAGACGCAACTTTTGAGAGACTGCAGAGGGAAAAGTGGTTTGGCAAAGGCCCTGCGATCTGTTGAATGTAGAGTTTGTTTGAGGGGTGAGAAAATATGTCATTTCGGAGTCGTGGTTTATTCCAACGTAAGAGAGTGCGCACCAATGAGAGGCTGTTACGCTCCACCCATACCTGCCTTCTTTCCGCCCCCCCCCCCCCCGCCTTTTCCATCCACATACTCACTACTGAACACGACCTGCCGCCTGCCACATCTGGAGACGCTTCCCAACACGAGAAACTTCAACTTTTGCATTTACTCTGCGCAGAAACACAGACTTGTCTATCCGTCAGGGTGAATTTGGCTTTCTCTTGGTAGTAAGTAGAGATTCTTGAAGTCACGTTGACGTCTCTGTCTTTCTCTTAGGGTTTTACATCACCGTTGGTAAAGAGAGCCCGATTAGGAGTTTCATACATTCAGCTGCTGTTTTTCTGCCATGCTAGATGTTATAGTTGAACGCGGTTTCTGGAAATAACGTAAAAGACACATTTTACATGCTGGGTTTTCGTAATGCGTAAAAAAAGGAGCCAGGGAAAGTTAAAGTGCCTCAATGTATTAATTGAGTTGATGAAAATCATGCAAATCAAGTAAACAAATACATGAAAAGTTAATAATCTCACGCTCTGGTCTGTCACGAGACTGTTTTTATTGTTAAATGCTGTGAGTATACCCTGTCTGAGACCTTGCTGCTTTCACTGCACGATATAGGCTACGTAGATGGTGACATGAATCAGAGGGAATCAAACAGGGAAAATCAACAGCGACCAGTGATGGAGTGATAGCCTACATGTCGAGCTTGTTTTGTCCAACACTGATCTAACACTTGGAAGAGAAGACTGGAATAAACCATAAGGCGCACAGCTCCATACTGAAGTGTTTAAGTTAGTCTGAGGGGAAATTTAAAAGACCTAAAAATACAGCGTTGGTTTCTTCCCTACAAAGAATCATTTGAACTTCCCACCGCAGAGCGAGAGCGACATAAATAGTTCTGACATGTGGATGTAATTTCAGACGAGGAAAAAAGACAGATGCAGAGAAATAAAGAGCGGGCTGAGCCTGAGAATATAGTAGATTATAGGAAATTAAATCGAGGGCAGAGCGAGGCGATTACTGAGTTATGATTTCACAAGCCGCCATAGGCATCGAGAGGCCAGATGGAGTAAAAAAATACAACTCGCTCCACTTTGAAGAGAGTTAAGTAGCTTAAATCATTTCATCCGACCATCATCAGCGTCTGTTTGAGCCCCACAAGGACTCTTGGAGGTAGAGTTGCCTCAGGTCAGGGATGGGATCCGCTCAGCTGTTCCACAATCTGGACTTTCTTCTCATCTCACTACTCAGCAGTTTATGTCTGGTAAGTCATTTTTTATGTATACATAATGCAACTATCTATCCTGTGTAATAACCAAAATGTAATTTTGATGGTGCACTTGTGAGCTGTAGAGGTCCAGTGGTGCCTCCGTTTCACAGATCATTGACAGCATGTCAGAGAGCAGGTAGAAGAGCAGCATATGCATTAGGAACTATTAGGGGAAATTAATTGCGCACGTTGATGAAATCTGCAAAATGTACTCTCAGCTTTTGATTTCTACAGAATGTTCTGATTGCATCTCTTGCACATCATGATTAAGAGAGCACATTGTCAAGGTTAAACAAAAGATGCATGATGACCTCCAGAAGAAGGGACAGAAAGAGAATCAGGTTCAAAGTCAAATGCTTCACACTCACATCACCTCTATTTTCTAGTCTCTGTGCTGCAGTATGTCACACTTCGTCTGGAATTGCTATGTTGCCAGTGAACACAGGCTTAATTGCAAATAAACTGTATATAAGCTTAAATAGTTGGAGATGCAGTTGTGTACTGACACACATATTGACAGAGTCATTACTGGACTGAAGTGGTTGTCAGGGCTCCTAAAAAACAAGCTGCTGTGATTAGCGATTACACTCTTGTTCCATTTGCATCTCACCAGAGTTACAATACAACAACACTGTGTTTGTGTAAAGCAGTGCCTGGTAACCTAGTGCCTGTAATAAGCAGGGAATTGTGTTTACTACATATTGTTTCATAGCTTTGCCAAACTCTCACCTGCATGAACTGAAGCAATTCATGCAGTCAAGAATGGAAGTAAATATTTCATTCATTACTCCGGCAGCACCTGAATTTCATCTGTCTGATTCACAGCTGTAATGATTTACTTTTGCCCAACATTGTGATTTATAATTGCGCTCTCAAATATTGCCATAGCTGTATCCAAAAGGCCTGCTGCACACACTCACACACACACACACAAACACTCTGTGCACGCTGAGCAGCGCACCAAGTTGGTTCTGTGTGTTTTGGCTGAGGCTGTTGTGCATTCAACAGGCAGTTCGCCCAGGCTCTGAGGTACAGTGCAGTTTCCCAGTGATGTGGTCCATCACTGTACCGCAGTGGACCACTAGGCTCATTGGTTTAGATGGCAGAGGAAAACAATTATAACATAGCTGTGTATTTATAGCTGATTCAACATTCAGTCGTTAAAAGGCTCTGTCTGTGAATGGTGTTTACCCGTTTTTTAAGTTTGGTGTTTGCTTAGTCTTCCTCGCCACAAAAAGGTAACTTTTCTTTCCAAACTGTGACCAAATGAGACGATTTCTCTGAAAGCCAAAGCTAAGAGTGGAAAGTCTGTGCCTCTGTTTGAAGAAAGCTTTTTAAATTGATACATGCAGTTGTCAAACTACAGGACAACGCCACTTTCCCAGAGGCTCAGCATATAAATGATGATATTCTGGTATTAAATTTACAAATATTCAGCAGTACACAGAACACAATGACCTAGTTGGGTCCAAACGCCATTTTTACCTGTAGGAAATTGGCTGATATAAGAACAGACATGGAATCTCTCCACTGTGTTTTATCCCTCAGCAGGCATGCTGCAGTGACAGCTCACAGACAAAGCACTGCTTCACAGCCTTTGTTCAGTGTGACTGGCTGCCTCGCTTACTCAGTTATTACATTTATTAAGCGGAAGCACTGCTTTCAGGAACCTCAGTGAGGATTTAATTTTTACCTCATGCCTGTGTTTTCCACCGTGATGACTTGCATGTGTCTGCATCCTTACTGGGAGGACTAGAGATGTATCTGTATCTGCCTGCCATAGCCAGTCAGCTCTGGACAAAATATGACTGCAAGGACTGTCATGTTTTGTAGTGCACAAGGCAGTTAGGACTAGCTTGACTAGTTGTGGAAAATATCTGATGTTGACGACTTTATCCCAGAACTTTTTGCAGAGAAACAGTGGCTTGGTTCTTCAGTGTAACAGAAATATCTAGATTTAGTTTTTAAATCAATTTTGTGTTTGACCTGAATAACAATCGATTTCACATACTATATTTGTTGAAGTAATACTAAACTAAAGTGACTGATACAGAACTTTTAAAACGCACATAGATGAAAGATTTATGCCCATTTTCCTCAGCAGAGAGACCCACCCCTTAGATGTTCCTTGACACAATTGATCAATTTGAAACCACAGGATCAGGATTGTAGTCTACAGTTTCATTAAAATGCATGTAACGGGAGAGAAATGTGCCATATGCACACAAAGTACAAAATATAGTTTTTCATAATACATCTCTGCCTCACATGTTGCCTTAATTTATTATTCAAGCCTTTACAGTAAATGATCCTAAAAAGCATATACAGCACCACCTTACGAATAACCTTTCAGAGTAGCTATATCCATCTCTGGCAAATAATCCTCAATGGAACTTCATAATACAGATTAGAGTGTGGGATAATCTCATCTCAGTCTGTCTCTGGTAATTAGGGGCAACAGATTACTTCTCACTAATTCATATGAACTGCTGGTGCATTTGTGAAATAGGCTTTAATATTGAAATTAATTTTTGCATGCCCTTTTAACTGATCTCCAGTATGACTTATGATAATTTATTTTGGCTTTTGTCTGAGTTTGTGTGTGTATGGAGTATGAAATGAAGCATCTCCTTAAATGTATTCCACAAATTTGCTTTTTGATAAGTAATTTAGGCAAAACTGTAGAGACCTCAGTCAGTTTGATTTACCTCTTTTAATTATACTTACTCTGCAGCATCTTGCAGTTATTTACCATAAATTTCCCCTAATAAGAGATGATGCAGTTGACCCTACTGTGTAAGGCTGAGTGATAGTTTATTATATTCAGTTGTATAATTTATCATCTCACTCTATAACCACATTGTGGCAAACTTGACAAACACATTATAAATTGGATACATTTCAGTAATTTTAGTTATATGATTTGGTTCTCACAAAACACTAAAGATCATTTCACTCAATAGAATACACATGATGTAAATGTTCTTTGCTTTTATTTTGACTATTTTAAATATATAAAATTTAAATATAATATTTTTTTAAATTAGTCTCGTGATAATGCTGCGTTAATTAGTGCAATATAATTTTTCTCCACATTGCCCCCCCCCCCCCCCCCAACTGAGGTGCCTCATTGTCTTTCCAATTTAATGTGCAACACGGATTCATTTGCATTTGAACCCCTTCACGAAATTACAGGTGACATAACAAGTAAATCTCTGCTTGCAAAATCTGGCTGTGAAATGCTTAAAGTTAGATTTGGTTTGTATTTTCCTCTTGTGAAATCATGGCACTAGTCTAAAGTAAATCAATCCAAAATCTATTAACCATATACCTTTGATGGTTTCATTAATTGCATTGTGAGATATTACAAAGTGCCACCTACTGCACATGTCACCAGTATTTCATGCCGTTTGGATGCAGCCTTGATCTCAATTCCCTCTCTTATCTGGCCCCATTAAGACACAGAGGGACAACAAAGTCCTGCCAGGACCAATTTACTCATCTCAGTGTACATTTCTGTCAAGTCATCTCCTATTCCTTTTATTAAAGGAAGAAAACACCTTCAGATATATGTACACAGTAGGTAGTATCATCTATGTGTTGTTTACTGCATCCTAAGGGTTATATTATCATCAATGGCTCTGTTTTTTTATTATTATTTTGTGTGTGTGTGTATGTGTGTGTGTTTGTGTGTTTGTGCATGGCCAGACTTTATATTGTGACCTTTACTGCTCCCAGACTGGAGAAGAGAAGCAGTAGGAGGTGTGTCAGCAATGATTAAGTAGCAATGTGCACTTTTGTTGTAAGAATTACCAGGATTTGTTGCTGCCTTCAGACGATTTCAAAAGCTTATGATACCATTTTAATCTTCTATTTTTGTGTTTTTTTCCCCACACAATGAACAGATTTCACCTACAGTAAAGGAGTCTTTTAAAGCAATACATTTGTGATGTGCTTTTATGTTTGACTTAATACCTCTTAACATTCCAATGGCCTGCCCATGGGCCGTCAGGTCTTGGTGGCAGCTTTCGGTATATGCACACAACTGCTATGTTAACTTTATACTCATATGATACACCGTTTGAAAGCTAAAATCCTTGTGATTCGACCAATGTAAACCATTTCAAGATACAATCACCACAGCGGGTACAATCAGCGCCTCTGTCAGACCTACCAGTACAATCAAAATTAATGCGACTCACCTATGAAGCCTCATAGTAACCTAATCCAAATGGATTATATTCTTAAAACAGTGCTCTTGATATGTTGTCAAAGGTCCAGACGATCCAATCCAGTAAAAAAACATTTAGTAAAAAAGACATTATTCCATCAATGAATCCAAAGGGATTGCTGCTGCATCATTTCTTATTCGCAGACGTGGCTCGGATGTCATTATAAATGTAATAACTCCTCTTTGGACGTAACCAACTATGATATCTTGTATTCAGATTAGCCGCTGAACTTTGACCTTTCGAGTGACACCAAATTCGACCCAATAGGAGCTCACATGTCCCTTTTACAGGCTACAATAGCCCACGAGAGCCTGCGCTGTAAGGAAGGGCCAGCCCCTATAATTTCGTGGGTAGGCCGAGCCAATTGCAACCAATTGTGCTGATGGCTGGCACTTCGTGTAGCCAATAAAATTCTGAAAACAGCGATATCCAGCTTTAAGTAGGAATCTACCAGCAAAAAAACACATCTGCGTCAAGCTACGGGCTACTTCGCATGATGACTGTTTTGGAAAAAAATACGCTAAGACATACCCTGTGTAAAATATTAGTTTTTCATAGTAAAGGTATAAAATTTAAATTTAGACTAGGTAAGGCTTTATGCTGTGGCCCTACAGTGTTTTCCAGCTAATAAGTCCCAGCTATAGTTGTCTGCATGCATTTGTTAGCAAGTATTTTCAAGCAGACACGATAATATATTAAGAAAATATATTAATTTTAGTGTATTTAAACTTATATTAATTACTTTCAGTAGCACTTGTGTGT